AAAATATATCGTGAATTATTCCTTATTCCTGTGTTTTCTTAAAAATATGTGCTGAATATTTCCTATTTCCTACTAAAATGTTTGATAAAATTCACCCACAAAACATCGAATTCTGGATGTGTGTCTTGGAGAGGGTCTAAAAATAGTGATAAAGAACATCACTAAATGTAGTGGCAAACGTGGGGTTAAACAGAACGGACTTCTCAAGTCATCAGACAGTACTCACAGTGCACAAACACGCCAAGCTTTCACTGCACTGCAATTGTACCTTCAACGTTAATATTATTGTGGATACAAAATAAAGCGCATGGGGCAGGGATAGCTCAAGTGGTACAGCTCAGGCGTAGCACACACAAGGTCCTGGGTTCACTCCCCAGGGCCTCCTTCAAGAGGAAATGCACAGATAAAGCTAATTACTCCCCCCAACCAGAAAACAAACAAAATAATAAATAAACAAACCTAATTACCTCTCCCTTCCAAAAACTTTTAAAAATAAACAAGTCAGTAAGCTGCATTTAAATGCTTTAAAGAAGTAAATTAGTTCAGTGATTTTGATAAGGGTAACGTATTTTAAAATAAAAACAGCAGAAGTGCTCCAAGTCCAATATTAAATATTGTGCACATCTTATCTCGAATGTGGCTTCGACAGATAATGGATTATGTCTTCATACGTCGTGGTCTCATGGTGTTGACCTGGGAGAACATGGCTCCGGTAAAGCCAGATGCTCTAACTGTGCCCAGAAGTGCTGACGACTGATCCTTCTCCACTGGGTGCACGACACTCCTCAGGGCTGTGTCTGCCAGCATGGGCTGGGCAGGGGTGGATTCCTGTGCCCTCAGTGGCGGAGCTGGGACCCCATGTCCTGTCCCCTCCCTGCAGTGGAGACAAAGTCTCTAGGGTGTGGGCTGAGGGAGACTCTGGGTTTCAGAGCCGGGCTGGTAGGTTCTATGAAATGCCTCTTCTTGGTACACACCCAACTCTTTTTATAATAATTTTTATGATTTCCTGTAAGAATATATGCGTGTATGTATAAATCTCTATATAAAGTAACTATTACATGTCTATGGACAGAGCCCTAACATCTGTGTAAATGTCCTTTTCCTTCACATGTGGAATCGTCTCCATGTGATTGTTTTCTGATATCATTTTCTGTAGAGAGATGGAAGACTCAATCCAAATGTGACAATTTGCCCCTCCTCCCCTACAGCCCGTGGGGACACCTGCAGGACTGTGATGTGGTGTCACACTCTCCAGCCCTGCACCTGGAGGCCAGGCTCCCGGGGAGTCAGCCCAGGGGGTGGGACCCGGGATTCCAGAAGCCAGTCCACCTGGGATGCTATCCAGCAGCTTAATTCGCCATCGCAGCGGCCTCCTTAGGGAAATTAGGAGGAGAAATCCCTCCCGCTTTTGTCTGTGGTCTGAGAACAAGGCATGGTTCCCACTGATGGCTTTTCATCTGTTTCTGAGTGTTCCTGGGGTTCTGAGGAGTGATCAGGGAGGGACTGGATCAGGCAGCGTTACCTTGTCTAATTTTAAGGTAGAAATCCGCAGGACACTTGCGTCATAATACAAGTAGGCTTGCCTCCCAGACACTAATGCTTACAGAACTGCTGAACAGCCAGGGGAAATTCAGATTCTGGGACAGCAATACAAAGTTCTGATTCAGGAGCTCCAGCAGGGGGGCTGCACTTGTGACAAAACGCCAGCTGAGGCTCCACCTCAGCTCCATGTGAAAGAAGAGTTGGTGTCCGTGTTCAAATTAGCGCATGAGGACATGTCGTCACTGCTGTTTGTATAAGACGAGTCTCAGATCGAGGAGCAGGGTCTCTGAGTCTCACTGTCAGTTAATATATTTTGTAGCTGAGCCGCCTACCATCAGCACTGTAGGGAGAGAGGGAGAGAGAAGCCCAGTCCTGGAGGCGTCCCCCTGGAGAGATGGACACAGCCTGGGGGAGGCTGGAGTTGGCAGGTGGCCTGGACAGGAGATGGGGGCATAGCACCTACTACCAATGCGGTGCTAACATTTCACCCTCTCTCTTCCTCTCCTGCCCCTCAGGGCTGAGCCCTCTGAGCTCAGGGGGAGGTTTTGGTAGCACTTCCCCTTGAGGTTACATCACTGTGTCAGGGTAACTACCACTACCTATGTACACAGCACAGTAATAGTCGGCCTCATCCTCGGGCTGGGCCCCTGTGATAGTGAGGGCGGCTTTGTTCCCAGAGATGGATCCGGAGAAGCGATTGGGGACCCCAGAGTAGCGGCTGTTTGTGTTGTAGATAAGAGTTCGGGGAGCCTGGCCTGGTGTCTGCTGGTACCAACCAGGGTAGTTACTGGAAGTGACAGACCCAGAGCTGAGGCCGCAGGTGAGTGTGACCGTCCCTCCTGGAGACACTGACAGGGATGGCTCCTGGGTCACCACAGTCTGAGAATCTACACCTAAAAGCGACAGGAGAGACAGGGGTGGTTATGGAGACCAGGGTCACCCAACACCTGGCTGTAGACAACCCCCCAAGGCTGCAGTGTCCCGGCCCCAGACCTGAGCCGACAGTGAGGAGCCCGAGCAGAAGTACCGTCCAGGCCATGGTGGGAACGCTCCTGGGACGCGGCTCCTAGCCTCCTGGGCTGCAATGTGGGGACCTCGGGCCTTTTCATGCCTCCCAGACCCACTGGGAGGAGAAGGGGCTTCATGCAAATCAGCTTCCTCCCTCTCCCTGCCCTGTGTCACCTGATGTCCCCTGGGGGAGGTCTGGGGGGGGCAGATGCAGGGATGTCACCCTGACCCAGGAAGGCACTGTGTTGAGAGACTGAGTGATGGGGGTGATGCCAGTCACCAAGTGTGCTCCCCCCGCCCCTGTGACCTCAGTCCTAAATCTCATTCCTGCAGAGCCTCAGGAGGAGGAGTTGGTGGGATCAGAGCTGAAGGAGATGGTGGGATCCTCTCCTCCTGGGCCCAGAAATCTAGTTCCCCCCACTCCTACCACCATCCCTGGGACCAATCTCCTTTCTTCTGTGAAATCCTTGCTTGTCTTCCTCCGAGGAGCTGAGCTGTCCCTCCTCATCCACTAGTGAGTCCACTGGGAAGTCACAGAATCCATGTCTGGGGTATAGAAGACATGAGTCTCTCTGAACTCATTCTGGGACCACAGGGCAGCCACACAGCACCCCATGCTGGTCATGGGGCACAACCTTACTGAGGATCAGAGACCTGAGGGCCCAGTGGTTGGGCAGCTCACCTGGTCCCTGTCTCCATTCACAGGTCCACGGTTGGCTTCCCAGATCTGTGGTTCTTTTGTGCTAAGTCACATCCTATAATATTTTCATTTCCAAATGGAGTCCTGGTCCATGGAAGCTGCAGAGCTGTGCATGTGGAACCATTAAAA